TAGTTCTATAAAAATATATATTTGCAGAACTCTGAAGAGCAAATCACAAAACAACATGCTGAAAGGACATAGCAACAAAGCAAACCTTGTTGAATTAGTTGTGCTGCACCAATGTCAAACCCTCTGAGCACAATGAAAAAGTAAAACTCCAGAGAAAAGCACTATATCATAACAATGCAGTGTCAAAATATTATGTGTACCTACATTAAACACATTTCAAATTATTGGTGCCATTGTTTCTCATAATATTTTCTTTTTGACAAGGGTTTCCTGTGTTTTTCTGGGGACTAATTTTGCTGGCTATGACCTCAAGGTTGGGAAACTTGGCTTTGAAGGATGAAAGCAAGAGGCTCAAAAGTGCTTCTTGAAGAACCTCTTTTATGCGATATCAAAAACTGTCACCGTTGGCAGTTATTTGGATGCTGGTGTGGTGGGAACTTGTTTGCCTGCTCTATTTGTTTGTTGCGATGGCATCAGAGGGGGGAACCTCCTACTCAATTGGCCTTGGGTTCCAGAGTAGTTGGAGGACAGGTCATACAAAGGCGCAGTGTGATGGGGTCATCACTGTCACTGCACAGAATTGGGGGATGTGCCAACTTTGTAACTGACGGCTTCGTACGGTTGCCATGTCCTGCTCTTCTCAAGCCACCATGCACTGAATCTTCTCAACAACATGTTTACACACCAAAACTAGGATAGGCTATGGGGATAAAAAGGACTACTTCTAAAGGAGGATGGAGACTATAAAAGAAACAATCATCCAGCACATCACAGGACCACCTTTGCTGGAGTTCCTGCTTTTGAGTTTATGTGTGAGAGGCTGGACTGGTGAGAAACACCATGGATTTACATAGCAGTGTACGACTTCAAACGAGGCGGCTGACATTTGAATGGGTTGGTGGTGGGAACCTCTGGTGGGGTTTTTGTTGTCATGCAGGGTGAGCCAAGGAAAGTGGGCACGCACACTGCCAGGATTTGTGTGTAGACAGCTTGCCCTGTTTACTGGGCCCACAGGTTACCATAGGAGCCCCTGCAAAAACTGTGTGTATATATGAGACAAAGGTACACAACTTAAAGTTAAGGGGGTACTGAGTCACTAGGCGTGCTGCTAAGAGAGGCCAGAAAACTCTGATTAGTAACACACTAATAACAGGGGAGTAGAGATGCCCTCTTGTAAGCAACTACACATCACTTCAAACTTTGACTTTATCTGTGACTACAGCTGCATTTATGGATTAGGTGACAAATGTCAGCCAGGTAGTATGTGCTGTTTGTTAGATTCATGTGCAACTATTTTAGCATCAGGAACCACATGCATATGAATGATTAGCTGAACAGGGAAATATAGTTCCACTCAGTCCAGCTAACTTATATTTTATTGTTCTTGGACTCATTCACATGGATGCACATAGCGCTAAAACAAATATATAGCATGAAATGTACAGTGTGGAAACTGAGGTCCTGTTTAACTGTGCCCTATATGCCAGCATGTCACAAGTCATCACCTGATATTAAGCATGTCTCCTAATAACTAGTTCCTATCCTGGGGTAACTTTTTCTGAGTTTTGCTCCTTTTCCTGTGAAATACTGGATTCTTCCAAATCTTCAGGTCTTCGACAGAAAAGGTAGGGTCACTTTTTGGTTGATCTGCTTGCAAGTCTCTGAATTAGGTGAAAAATTGGTGATGAGGGGTCAGAGATGCACTTCATTTTAAGAAATCATAAGCCAAAAATACTGAGAACAGCTGCTGTACATACATTTTTCTTTTCCTGAGCCAACAGACACAACCCTGTGCATTTGCTGCACATGGCAAATAAAATGGCCGAGTAATTAGTTGATCTCAACATGTCACACTTTTGCAGAACAACAATTTAAATATATCTTTAAATAAGCCCAGACAGCTGTGGACAAACTTCTGACCATGTCCGATTTTAACTGTGGAAACCTCACAAAGAATAAATGCTAGTTCAGCACACAGGGAAGTGAAGGGAATAAACCCTAGGACAGGGAATACCTGCCTGAGTGAGTGCATACTCTAGAATGAGTGTAAGCCTCTGGGACAGAGGGAGGGACACATGTGAGTGAGTGTGTGCATGTGTACAAAATCTGCACAAATAACCAGTCAGGATCCCGTAAGAGTTTAAACTGGAATTACAGATCTAATTTTCCACTGTATTGTAAGCTTGGGTCAGGATTCAGACTGTATACACACACTGATCCACTTCCGCCCACACAGATCCAACACTTCTCTCTCCCCTCCCACAGCTTTCTCTTTTCCTGCCTGGCTGCTCTGCTTGCTGGCTGACGAGCTGTGCGGCCTGGCTCGGTGGCAGTTGCCCTGTCTATCAGTCTATTTCCAGGCTCGAAGCCCAGCACTGAGGCAGGCAGTCAGTCAGTCAGTCAGTCAGTCAGTCAGTCGGTGGGGGAGGGTAGAGGGGTAGATGCGTGTGTCAGAGAGGCGCTCTCCCACATTCCCCCGGCGGCTGGCAGCAGGCCGGGCCTGCGGAGGGGGGTTCGCCTCTTTCTCACGACCTCTCAGGTTCCTGCGCTCATCTGGGAGCTATTCATTTCCTGCCAGAAAACAACCATCCCCTGCAACTGCAGGAGGAGGGGGGTGCAAAGGGATGGGTGAGAGGAGGGAAGGGAGAGGAGTTTGGCTTCAAAATGAGTCCAGGGCTTGGTACAGCAAGCCCTGGGCTTAAATCATAAAGCTTTTGCTTGTCTGGGCTGCAATCAAAGACAGCCGCAGTGACGGGCCAAGAGGGAGACAGGGAGAGAGAGAGAGAGAAGAAGCATGGGAGTGAGAGAGAGGGAGAGCAGACCATATGGTAGCACTTAGGGAGCCAAGGAGGAAGCAGAGGGACTTTTTCCCTCCTTTTGCTCCCTGCATGCACGCGGAGTGTGGGAAAAGTTAATGGACACGTATGGCAGCTAACCCCCCACCCCAAGTCATGTTGTGACATGTGTGCGGCCACTCCGGCAGCTCGGCCACTGCACTGGGTAATTGGAGAAGCTCGTGAAGCTGTTCTCCAGAGAGGAGGAGACCACTGAAGATGCTGGTGTATGGATGTGGTGGTGAAGGCGGTGATGTG